TGGCCGTAGATTACGAACTCCAAGATCAACGGCCACGAATGGAGAATAAGGGTAAGTGGGACCTGGGCCCACGAATCGCTTCTAAAGAGCCTCGCTCCACTACTCACCAAATGTGCAAAATGAGAATGAATCTTTCCCGAGAACATGGAAAGGTACACCACCATATTTTTTGTTTTTTTGTGCATGTGGTGAGTACTGAGCAGTGCAGCGAGGCCCTAAGTCACATCACCCGCGTGTACAGCACCAAGGTATAATCTGTGCTCTTTTTGTTTTTTCCTTTTTGAGTGGTTAAGTCCAACTTTTGTTCTTTTGTTTTTCTTTTGTAAATACCAACTTCATACCCAATCACTGCCAAGGAAATTTAGGGAAATTTTTAAAAAAAGAAAAAAAAAAAGGCTTAATTATAACTTATATTATAACTTATAAGTGGCTATCCGCACAACAAAACTGTATCTTTGCAAACTGTCGTCCCCCGAAGTGCATTTGCAAACTGTATCTTTTTTTTTTCTCTTTTTTTCTTGTTAAACTGAACATGCTTTTTTTTTTTTAAAGAAAAACTTCTCTCTCCCTTCGGTATATGCTGGGAAACGGGCCCAGCATATACCGTACATAATTGGCCGCCGTCGGCAAACTGTATCTTGCCCCATAGTATAACTCGTTTTTGTGACTCTACTATTTTTTATTTTTTACCCCCTTTTTTTTTTTTTTGGGGGGGGGGGGAGTTACCCTTTTTGTATTCTATATAGAAAAAAGATTAAAAAGGAGGGAGGGAGGGGGGGGGGCGGGGGGGACGGGGGGAAAGACAGTTTTTCAAACCTTGATTGCCGAACAGGGGAACTGCCGGCGCCGCGATAGCCAGAATGTGGTCAAACAGCGTAGGTACTGCCCGGTCGGGGTCATCATCGGCTAGATATGGCACGGGGATAAACGGCTTGCCAATGGGATTAGCCCACGGGACCCTCTTCGAGTCCCCTCCAGCGTGCACCATCAGCACACTGAATGTGGTCAAGAATGATAAGGGGGATGGAGCATCTTCAGCATGATCTCCATTGCCAGAGCAGACGTCTTCTTGTTCTTCTTCTCCTCCTCCTTCTTCCTTCTCCTCGTTCGTCGATTTCCTACCGCATTTCGCCTGCCGGCTGCTCCGCAATCCCTCCTTTCCATGATGGCCCTCTCCCCACGACTGCGCGCAAGTGCGCGCGCTCTCAGTGCCGTCCGCTCTCCTTCTGCCCCCAGCTGCGCAGGGTTCTCCTTCTCCTTCTCCATCTCCATGTGCTGCTTCTTCGTCTTCCTCATGCTCGCCATAGCCGGATGATGCATCGCGCTGATCCTCGTCATTACCTTGATCTTGGCAGGCCTCTTCTTCGTCGTCTTCTCGCAGCTCGATCCACGTGTCCGCATCCGCATAAAGCGCGCCGAGCACACTTGAATCCCCTCCCTGGGGATCGGCTTTCCGCTCGAGACGGCTTGCGAGCGCATAAAGTGCGCCGAGCGTCGCTCCCCCTGAGCCTACCCGCTTTCCCCGCGGGTCCGGAACGGCGATGGCGATCGTTCTGCGCGCGATTCGCCCGTTCCGCTTGGCCGTTGCCAGCTGGCGCGCGTACAGCTCCGCTTGCGAAGGGCTGGCAGCTGTCACAACGATGGCATCCCACGTGGCACTCCCTTCCGCGCCCTTCTCCCGCCTTCGTTTCCTCCCGCTCCTGGCCACACTTCTCCTAAGCCAGCGCCAAGAGCGCGCCAAATTGCGGACTGCGCCAGCCGTCGATCCGCCGGCAGCTAGCTCATCGGCGAACGCGACGTGGCCCATCTTCAGCCCCCACGTTGCCCGAGTCCGCGACCACAATCGGGGTCCCTCACGCGAAGGGCAGCTAGCCAAATCGCGACCTAGAGTAGTCCGCACGGAAGGCCAAGTCGGAGACGCATATGCCTCGCCGATTCCAGTCCAGTGGGCAATAGGGACAAGCGGCTTTTGTGGGCGGTTTCCGCTGCACGAGTTCATAACCAGGGGCAAGGTCCCACTTGCACGAATTAACAGATATCGACCATAGATAGCAAGGGTCAACGCCTGAATCTCTTAATCCGTGCAAGTGGGACCTTGCCCCAGGGCCCGGGTCCCAGATGCACCGTGCAGTTGTAGTTTACCACACGGTGTGACACAAGGTAGCGGGAAAAGAAAAGGAAGTTTCTCAAATAAAAAAGCAAAAAAGAAATCGAAGGGACCAAAAAACACGGAGAGGCGTATGCCGGGCTGTTGAAAGACAGACCTGTGCTTGAACGCGGAAGCAGATGCGTGAAAATACTACAATTGTCTACCGCGTGGGTGCGGGGAACGCAGCCCTAAGGTAGCCAAATCAATGAGACTAAGAGCTAACACAAGAGAGAGAGAGAGAGAGAGAGAGAGTGCAGACTTGGCATTGGTACTTCGGGATCTGAGATTCATTGTTGGGGCCTACAGAGAGCTTGGAGCGAGAGCCAGGTGAAAGAGAGAGTATTACAGTATTATTCGGCACTGCCATACATTTGGGTCTTCTTCTTCCTCTTCTTCTTCTTCTTCTTCTTCTTCGTTTGCTGTTTTCTCCTTCCTTCTCCTCCTCCTCCTCCATCTCCCTTCTCCTACCTCGTCTATGTGCGATTGCAGTGGGAGGTCTCATCTAATTTTTAGACCCCTCCCTTCTCCTACATCGTCTATGTATGATTGCAGCCGAGGTCTGTTCTATTTTTAGACCCCTCCCTTCTCCTACTTCGCCTATGTATGATTGCAGCCGGCGGTCTGTTCTTTTTTTAGACCCCTTTCTCTGGGTGCGCGCTTGCACTTGCATTTGGATTTGAGTCACATTTCCATTTCTGCTGCATCCAAGGTAGATTGCTTTCAACAACAACAACAACAAAAAAAAAAAAAAAAAAAAAACAGAAAAAAACTGAAAAGAAAAAAAGAAGGGTCGCCATTACCACTTGACTGGGCTGTCAGCGCATAATC